TATATATATATATATTGTATATGTATGTATGTATGTATGTATGTATGTATGTATGTATGTATGTATGTATGTATGTATGTATGTATGTATGTATGTATGTATGTATGTATGTATGTATGTATGTATGTATGTATGTATGTATGTATGTATGTATGTAATGTATGTATGTATGTATGTATGTATGTATGTATGTAATGTATGTATGTAATGTCATGTCATGTCATGTAATGTAATGTAATGTAATGTAATGTAATGTAATGTAATGTAATGTAATGTAATGTATGTATGTATGTAATGTAATGTAATGTGATGTGATGTGATGTAATGTAATGTAATGTAATGTAATGTATGTATGTATGTATGTATGTATGTATGTACGTACGTATGTATGTATGTATGTATGTATGTAATGCATGTAGCATGTATGTCCATTTAATATGCCCATATCAAGATTTGTTTGATGACCTCAGCAGCGCTCGCCCAGGGCTGGGAGTCTCATTTCCAGAACTTAAGGTTAAGGAGCTCGTTGCAAGAGTTCAGAGCAATCAATGTCGTGTTTTTTCCTCTTTGAGGCCTGGCCGGGTGGCTCCTCTCAGCTTCCGTTTGGGACCTGGTCAGCTGCAACCTAGCTTTCGCTTCTGGGGCGCCTTGACTGGACTCGAATCGACTGGCCGAACCGGTTGGGCAAAACGGGTTCAAACCAACCCCTGGCTTCTTTTGAGTAACCCAAAGGAGGCGGTCTCGTCAATATTGGGTTGAAGAAGTTTTAGTATGTTTCAGGTTTGTTGTTGAAATATTTTGACTGGTGTGGTTCGTTTAGGGTTTGTCCATCCGTCGGCGGCTATGCTGATGTGGCCCACAAGCAGGATCAATGACAGCAGGGGACTCGCTGACTCGTTGTGCGAGGAAGGATTTTGCTGAGGGGATTGAAGAGAGATTCCTGAAGCTTTGCCTTGGGACGGTTTCGATTGAAATTCAACTTGGCCCAATGAACTCACCAATTAAGATTCCCCTGTGCCAAAACCAGGGACCCATGTTGGAAGTGTATTCAGCCAGCCCTTTCTTGGGTAATTGCTTTGACGCCACGGAGGTATCAAAGTCAGAAGCGGGCGGCCCACAGCTTGGGGGGTCGCTTGTTCTCAGTAAGATTTTGCCAATTTGGGAATGGCCCCAACCATAGGTCTGATCGGTCAGCGCATTCCCACATTCCCTGATAACTGAGACCCGGCAAAGAAACATGCTTGGTTTCCTTGGCTTCTCTAGCGCAACAGCCGCACAAAGGGGCTTCCCAGCAAAAATGCGCCCATTGATGGGTTGCTTTGGTTGGGGGATCAAATGGTTCCCTTTACTCTACATCTTTGGTGACGTTGATAATGAGTTGTCAAAATATGCCGCCCAAGGTGCCGCCTGTTAAAGGTTCAACCAACTACAGGTCACTCGCTGGCCTTGCTGCGGGCCATGCCGAGCACTCGTTTCGGTACTAAACCACGGTCGATCGTATGTCAAGAAAGCCGCCTGCTTTTTTACCAGGGTCCGGAAGTGTTTCTTAAACTTTTGAACGGGAATAAGAAACGGAAGTGTCAATCCAGAGTCTTGACCAAATTTATAATCTGGAAATTGAAACAAGGTTTGTGTGGTCTTGCTTTTGGTGTGCTGGTGTGGTTTGGCTTGCCAGACGCGACTTCCTTCGGCACAGTCATCGACGCTTGCCCTGTGTGACCGAAATTTCACTTAGGGTGTGAACCTTTGAAACAAGCTGTCAACCTATTTGCCCCTAGCAACCATTGCTGTGTGAGTTGCAAGCGGCATGGCATGCTGTTGACAAACCGCAGCTGTGCACAGATCTTAGCATGCAAGAAAGGTTGCTGCCTGCTTTGCGCTTAAGTCCCCCCAATAGGGGCAACTTCTGTTTTGGGGGTTGGTTCTTTTGGGGCCGCTCCCACATTGGTAGCGGAGCGGGTTTTGAGGGGTTGTTTGGGGCTGTTGTGGTTTAGGCTGCTCTGCCCCGGATGGCCACTCGCACCCGGCGTGCAGTGCACGCGGAGACCGAGCCTGTGCCGGTCGATGAGGACTTGGAAGAGTCCGATGGAGAGGCAGCTGCTGCTGCCGATGAGGCTGCCGCTGCAGCTGGGGCGGCGAATGGTCAGGAGGAGGATCCGCTGCAGGCGAACGACCCATGGGCTACTGGAAGTGGACAAGCCGCTGGAGGTGATCGCCCTGGAGCACAGAGCCCTGGCCATGCCGCAGGAGCATCTGAAGGTGATGTTCCACCGCCAGAGTTTGTGAAGTGGTTCTACAACCTCTGGCAGCAGCAACGCCAGCAAGAGGCGAGCTCTTCATCGGCTGGACCATCTCATGGACAAGGGCAACCCACTGAAGGAGCTGAACGGAGGCCTTCGGGAGATCGTGAACAAGACACCGGTGGCAATCCCGGAGGCAGAGATAAGCCCACCCAGGCTAAGGCGTCGAAGAAGAGTAAGGCGGCTGCTCCGAGGCCGCCGAAGAATCCACCGCCGCCACCCCCTGGCCCTGGAGGATCTGGCGGAGGAGGAGATGATGGCGACGATGATGAGGACGAGGAGCATCGCCGCCGCAGAACCAAGAAGAAGGACGACAATCCGCCACCGTGGAGAGATGGTGATGATGAAGAAGATGGAGAGTACAGCTCAACCGCCGGAACCTCTGAGATCAAGTCGTATCTGAGAAGGCGAGCTGCTGCGGGAGGTGATCGACCCAGAAGCAGCTTGGGTACGGTCAAGATTGAGGAGTTCTATGGTGACCGTGCGAGGTACGTCAAGTGGAAGAAAGCAATCGAGGCGCAGGCGGAGCTCTACCGTTTGGAGGATGCGGAGCTGGCCATGTTGGTGTACCTGAGCACAAAGAAGGATGCGCGGGACTGTCTGGAGCAGCGGGCCATCGGCGAGTGCACGAAGGGCGGCGGACTGCAGCTGATGTGGGGGCTTCTGAACGAGGCCTTCGGAGAGACGGAAGAGGAGCTCTTTGAGAGGGCGGAGGCAGAGTTCATGAACTACCGCAGGCTGCCAGGCCAGTCGGTGGCATCGTACATTGGCCAGATGAAGCGCTTGAAGGCCCAGTACCACAGGGTGGATCCGGACAGTTGTATGTCAGACCGGGCATGGGCACAGAGACTCCTGAACAAGTGCTCGCTGGGAAGGAGAGAGAGGCTGGATGTCTTCTTCAGTGCCGGAGGCCGCTACATCCCGAGCGACATTGAGCGTGCTCTGAGGTATCGGTGTGGAAAGGTGCACGAGGATGAGCGACGTCTGCCGGGACGACCGCCGCCACCTCAACCATTTCGCACCTACAGAGGAGCAGGTACAGTGAGTACCAAGCCGGTGGAAAGGATGGCTGCCAAGCCCAAGTGGAGGACAAGGCCATCGGGAGCTCATGTGGTGGCAGATGATGAGGCATGTTTTGATGAAGAGCCGGAAGATCTTGAGAAGGATGAGGAGGCCTATCAGACCTACCTGGAGACGCTGCATGAGACGGAAGAGGTCGAGATCGAGGAGCCAGACGAGCTGGAGAAGGAGCTCAGCGTGCTCATGGATGAGGTGGTCTCGGGGGAGGACGACCTTCCGGAGGAGGATCTCAAGGAGGCTTACGCCGCTGGCTGGAAAGCAAAAGCCAGACAGGCCGACCACAAGAAAGCACGAGGATGGAGAACCCCCGGTTCGGCTTCAGCTGCCCCTGATGTGAGGAAGAAGAAATCTTCGTGTGCGAGCTGTGGACGGGTCGGACACTGGCGAGGAGATCCGGAGTGCCCGAATGTTCAGAGCGGCAAGGATAAGCCACACACCGCCAAGTGATTCTGCTGCCAGCACTCCCAACCAGGTGCACTTCACCTTCATGGTCGGCGGTGGCTACAGCCAGGAGGAGACGCCGCCAATGGGGGTGTGTCCAAGGTGCAGGTGGCCGACAGCAGACACCTGCAAGTTCTGCAGCAACTGCGGGCAGAACCTGTACCGAGACGACAGGATGTCAGAGAATAAGAGAGGTTGGGGCCTGGTAGGAGAAGACAATGAGGAGATTCTCACCGTTGAGGAGACAGACGATGAGGAGGAGACCCCCAGCTACACCTACGACGTGAAGAGGAGCACGGTCAAGGAAGCTGCGGGTATGACGCCGGGGAAGAAGCAAGACGAGAAGATAAAGCTGAAGCCCAAGGAGGTCATCTCGGTGCTGGATAAGATGACAAAGGAGGAGAAGAAAGAACTGAGAGGCGCTGGAGATTGAGGAGGAGCATTTGGCTTGGACTTCGGTGGAGCGACACCGGATTCTGAGACTGGAAGAGCAGCTTTCGAGGAGTGGTGCGGCGAGCTCAAGTTCTGCACCAGGGACGCAGGGGCCGATCACTCCAAACGTCAACCGCAAGGTGACGGCGCCCGTTACCAAAGAGTTGCCGGCGAGAGAGGCTGCGCTGAGGGACTTCCGGTACGAGCTCTATCAGCGCCAAGTGAAGGATGGAAAGTTTACTCCATCTCCAACAGAGCGGCAAGCAGCATGCAAGCATCCCTTCGAGCATATCAAGTAGACTGCCAATCAGGAGGGCCACTATGGGAGATGCCGACTGTGCGACCTGAAGCACGTGCTGTATTTCTCTGACCGTCATGGTGCCCTGGTGAGCAGCCAGCAGCATTTGGAGGAGATCTATGTATCCGGCATCTGTCCGGGGCAAGCGATAGCAGACACTGGCTGTCGAACGGCAGTTGGAGGAGGTGCCTGGCATGAGAGCTTGCAGAAGGAGCTCAAGGCTCGCGGTTTGCAGTGGTTTGAGGAGCCAGAGCAGGAGATGTTCCAGTTTGGAGCAGGTGAGGCTTGCCGGAGTCACCGCATACATTTACCCGGTGGGCATCTTCGGGGTGAACGCGGCAGTGAGGATATCACGTGTTGATGGAGACGCAGGCAACTGCCCTGGGTTGCTCGGACCCAGTGAACTGTCGAGGTGGAGCTGTATGTTCAACTTCGGCACTCGCCAGATGACGCTCTTCGGCATCACCAGAGAGATGAGGCTGACAAACACCAGGCATCCTGCTGTGGACCTGCTGGACTTTGGTGAGATCAGGGGCGATTACTGGGAGCAGCCGGAGGTGAAAAGATTGAAAGACGTGCTGGTGAGGATGCCACACACGTTTGCCTTTGTGCAAGACAAGTCGGAGGACACTTCGGGAGAGGAGACTGAGGAGACTTCGGAGGAGTCCAGAGACGCCGGTCTTGAGGATGAGTTGTTGGCAGACCTTGAGGCTGAACTAGGCGAGTTCCCCATCTGCGACATCGAGGAATCGGAGCCCGTTGAGGACGGCCAGGTGCTCTTCCACCTCTCACGAGTTTGGCATAGAGGTGTTCACTGAAAGTGGCAGTGAGAACAGTGAGGAAGAGAAAGATGATGCTGCCGAAGACATTGACGTGATGGTGGCCGGCAACACGAAGTCTTTCAGCAAAATCCGGAAGGCCGGAGAAGACGAGGTGCGCAGACGCCAGCAGCAGCCCCAGCAGCCCCAGGACCCATGCTTGCGGCCCAGCTCACTTCCTTTGAGGAAAAAGTGGAAGGTCCTGGAGGTGTTCATTAGCCTGATGGCCTTGGAAAGAGGCTGGCACATGTGCGAGCCGGTGACCTTGCCGGGGTGGGATCTTCGTGATCCCCAGACGAGGGAGGAGGCACACAACTACATCGACTCCCAGGCTCCGGATTTGTTGGTGCTGGCATGGCCTTGCAGCCCCAGAATCTGAACTGCAGAACCCTGGAGGCGGTGAGGCGATTGGCGCAGAAGAGAAATGAACATCGCCCTATGCTGGAGTTCGTTGGAGAGGCTGTGAGGAGGCAGAGAGCCAGAGGAGGAGCCGTTTTAGGAGAAAATCCAAGGCTGTCGAAAGCTTGGCAAGAGCCCGCCATTGTCGAAGGCTTCAAGGGCATGGCGGAGACGGTGTCGGACATGTGCCAATCCTGAGGAGCCCGCCGCTTTATGAAGAAGCCAACCAGGCTGGTGGGAACGCCAGAAGTGATCAGATGCTGCAGCCGGAGATGCAAAGGGAGCCACAAGCACACGCACATCTTCGGCAACTTCAAGTGGCAAGGAAAATGGAGATCACTGTCAGAGTTTGCAGGTGGTTACACGCCTGACTTTGCTCAGGAGGTGGTGATAGGTGCAGAGGAGTACCTGAAAGGAACGCGCAGGCCGGAAATATTTGTGGAAGGCGCTCATGTGCCGGAGGAGCGCTTCGAAGAGTTTGAGAATGAAGAAGAGGTGGTACCAGAGGAAGATCTGGAACAGAGGATGCTGCAGGAAGAGCTTGAGGAGATGTCCAGAGAGGAGCAAGTGCCTGAGGAGGCCCAGCGACAGCAGAAGCAGACAAGAGACAGGTTGAGGCTGATGATGGTTCATCGGAGGCTTGACATCCAAGCCCCGAGACCCTGGAGAGAATGCTACGACTAGCGGGCGCGGATGGACAGCTTCTGAAAGAATGCCGGGAGCTTCAATGTCCGGTGTGTGAGGCTTCACAAGCACCCAGGAAGCCGATACAGCAAGCCCCAAGCATGCGCCCGGTGACCTTCAATGCCTCGGTGCACCTGGATTTGAAGTACGCCAAAGACTGCAAGTCGAAGCTCTACGTGGCACTGAGCATGATAGATCATGCTACCAACTTTCATCGGGCCTGCTTGCTGCGAACGAGGCGCCCCGTTCATGTGGCAAACAAGTTTGTGACCCAGTGGTGTGCCCTGTTCGGGGATCCCACGGAGCTGGTCTTTGATCAAGGAGGCGAGTTTGAGAAGGAATTCCTCTTCGAGCTGGAAAAGCGCGCGATCCATTCAAAGGTGGTCGGTGCCTATGCCCCCTGGCAGAACTCCTTTGCGGAGAGGCAGGGTGCCTTGCTGGGCGCTGCATGGCATGCACTCATTGTGGAGTACAAGGCAGAGGACTACACAACGATGAAACAGAGCCTCGCTGCGGCGGTCCAAGCCAAGAATGCGACTGTCTCCAGACGCGGGTATTCAGCAAATGCCCTGGTGTTCGGAAGGCCAGCGAACTTTCCGGATCTGCTGGATGATGATGTCCAAGATCGGACAACCCTGGGGCAAGCCTTGAATCTGGAAGGCGAATTCAGCAGGGCAATGGAGATGAGAGCCGCAGCAAGGAGGGCATTGCTTCATCAAGATGTTCAGGCAAAACTCAAGAAGGCACTTCTGCACCAACCCGGAAAAGAGGCGATTCCCTTCCTTCCTGGCCAGAGGATTTACTTCTGGGTGCCAGGCCCCAAGAACGTTCGGTACAAGCGAGACCGCTCGGGCTGGAGAGGACCAGCTACCGTGATGGTTCGAGAAGGTGAGGAGCGGTACTTCGTGAGCTGGAGGGGAAGATGTCTGCTGTTGTCAGCAGCCAACATGAGGCCCGCAACTGCAGAAGAAGCTGGAGACATGGTGAGATTGGAGTTGGATGCCCAGGAGGCCATTCAAGAGTTGGAGAAGATGAAGTCGTTTCAGGACGCTACGTCGTGGAGGCCCCCTTTTGATGACATTGGCGGCCGTCCTTGGCAAGCACAGGACGTGGTGATGGTCCCCAAGAGCAAGAAGGGAAGGCCATACAATGAGGCCAAAGAGATGATGAGAGGCTTGAAGAGCGTGCGAAAAGTGATTCGCCATCCGCTGTTCCGGAAGCGGGTGATGGCAAAGAGGAGGCAGAAGCAGAAGCAGCAGCTGAAGCAGAAAGCCCCTGAGGAGAAGCCCATCGAGCTGGAGTCTCGGGGAGGCATAGATATTCCGGTGCCGGAGGGCGGAAGTGACTACGAGCCGACTTCACCTCGGTCGAGCGCCTCGCAAGACTTCTGGCCTACAATCCAGCAGATCGAGAAGTGGTACGACGAGATTGATGATGAGGTCTTCTCTGACCACAGCGATAGTCCGAGGGTGAGAAGACGCAGGTCGCTGGACGATGTGCCCGATCCTATCAGGCAGAAGCGGCCGTCAGAAGAGAAGCTGAGCGAGGAGCAGATCAGGAAGAAGTTCAAAGGAGAATTCTTCCAAACGGTGATGGTTGCCACAGCCGTGGAGGACTTCCAGGCCAAGCACAAGGGAAAAGCCAATTTGCCGTCGAAGGAGCAAGGGAAAGCCAATGCCTGGTTGCCTCGTTCAGAGGTCAAGAAGTTGAGGAGGCTGTTGGACCTGCCCATCACCGCAGCGCGACTGCACAAGCAGCCAAGGAAGCGGATGCAGAGGCCGCCCGGAGGAAAGAAGAGAGGTAGAGTGGTCGTGATGCTCAGCAAACGAGCCGGAGCCGCAATGGTGAGCCAGGAAACACTTGAGGAGGTGCGACAGCAGCCTAGGAGGAAAGCTCCATTTTTGTGGAGGGGCATGACGCTGTTCACCAAGCCAGAGGAAGTGATAGCAGAGGAGAACATGGCCTATGTTCAACTGGAGGAGGAGTTCTTCCAGGTGAAGGTCACTCAGCCCCAGGCCTGGAGAGAAATGGTCGAGCGTGAGAAAAAGCTGGAGGCCCTGAGCGAAGCACTCATTTTGAAGCTCAAGAGCTCAGGGAAAGAGCTTGACCCAAGGCTCTTTGACAAAGATGAGGCGGCAGCGTTTGCGGAGAGCGATAAGAATGAGTGGGAAAGCTGGATCAAGAACAAGGTGATCGAGAGGATCAATCCGGACGTGGCTCGGCAGGTTGATCGATCCTTGGTGTTCCGTGCACCCTTGAGGATGGTGCGCACGAACAAGAGCAAGGAGGCCATGAAGCTCATTGCCAAGTCGCGGCTCGTGGTTCCCGGACACCTTGATCCCCAGCTCGGTGACTACCGGACAGACAGTCCAACGGTGGCGAGTGTTGCGGCGCGGATGACGAAAATCATCTGTGCCATGAAGAAGTGGTCCGGGTGGTTCTTCGATGTGTCGACGGCATTCCTGAGTGGAAAGAATGCCACCAGGCAAATTTTGGTCAAAGCCCCACCGGAAGGTTTGCCCGCAGTTGACGGCATGAAGGCCGTTCGCCCTCACGAGCTGATGCGCATTGTGAAGAGTGCCTATGGCTTGCCTGAGGCACCTCGCCTATGGTATCTTCGTGCTGTGGAGCTGCTGGAGGGCGGCATGCAGGAGGTTCCCTTTGCGAGGTCTACGTTTGTCCTGGTGGACCCCAAGAAGACGGTGCGAGCCATCTGCGATTTGCATGTCGATGACGGCTTTCTGGTGGGCGAAGAGGGAGAGTTTCACTTTGAGAAGCTCAAGCAGTACATCAACGAGCACTTCAACATCAAGGAGTGGTCCAAGCTGGGTGAGAAGCCTGTGCGGTACCTGGGCATGGACGTCACCATGGGCACGGATGGGATCCAAGACAACATGGTGGACTATATCCGGAAGATTGAGTACAGCAAGCTGACGGGCCCGGATGAGAAGATGCTGGAGAGCACCAACTTCAAGGAGTACCGGCGCTTGGTCAAGCTACGCCGACGTCAAGAAGGCGAACAAAACCCTGAAGGATATGAAGGCCCTTGAGGAGTCCGGGGGTGCCATTCTGAAGTACCCGTACATCGGAGGTCAGGTGATGTTCGTGACCTACTTTGATGCTTCCCTGGGCAAGGAAGAGAAAGGTCAGAGTCAACAGGGAGCGGTTCACTTCATCACCTCAGTGAAGGCAGAGACACAGCCAGCCCCTGCGGGGATTTTGGAGTTCAACAGCAGCCGCATCTCACGTGTGGTTCGCAGCAGTATGGCTGCGGAAGCAGCTTCGATGACGATGGCGGCGGATCACCAGCTCTACAACCGGCTGCTCTGGGAGGCGCTCACCAAGGGGCAGTTGGAGGTGCATGGAGACTGGCGGCAGCGGCTGACCACCAGGGGCCTGGTGGTGACGGATGCGAAGAGCCTGTACGATCATGTGAAGAAGGTCGGCCACCTCACGGCCGAGAGGCAGACTGCGTTGGATCTCCACCTCACCAAGCAGATGGTGGAGAAGGGCATCCTGGGCATCTGCTGGTGCCCTACTTTCAAGCA